AGGAAATAAACAACTATCTGACTTTTAGAAGACATCTGAAGGCAGCCCTTGTATAGGGAAGTTTGTAACGGTTTGGTGTTTTGCTGTGTTTGATTGTTTGCATTTGCTGGAAGCTGCCCAGGGTGGCTGGGGCAACCCAGTCAGATAGGAAGCATATTATTATCATTATAGTGTCCAGAATACTTTGAGGGAAGGGATGCATTTTGAATGTGCATTCAAAGTTTAGTGTGTACACAGCCTTAGTCATAAACCCAGGGAGCTGAAATATGCTCAGTGAGAGCATTGATTCATCTTGCTCTGTATTGTGTACATTGTATTGTGTAGAATCATAGAATCATAGAGTTGGAATAGACCACAAGGGCCATCGAGTCCAACCCCCTGCCAAGCAGGAAACACCATCAGAGCACTCCTGACATATGGTTGTCAAGCCTCTGCTTAAAGACCTCCAAAGAAGGAGACTCCACCACACTCCTTGGCAGCAAATTCCACTGTCGAACAGCTCTTACTGTCAAGAAGTTCTTCCTAATGTTTAGGTGGAATCTTCTTTCTTGTAGTTTGGATCCATTGCTCCGTGTCCGCTTCTCTGGAGCAGCAGAAAACAACCTTTCTCCCTCCTCTAGATGACATCCTTTTATATATTTGAACATGGCTATCATATCACCCCTTAACCTCCTCTTCTCCAGGCTAAACATGCCCAGCTCCCTTAGCCGTTCCTCATAAGGCATCGTTTCCAGGCCTTTGACCATTTTGGTTGCCCTCCTCTGGACACGTTCCAGTTTGTCAGTGTCCTTCTTGAACTGTGGTGCCCAGAACTGGACACAGTACTCCAGGTGAGGTCTGACCAGAGCAGAATACAGTGGCACTATTACTTCCCTTGATCTAGATGCTATACTCCTATTGATGCAGCCCAGAATTGCATTGGCTTTTTTAGCTGCCGCGTCACACTGTTGGCTCATGTCAAGTTTGTGGTCAACCAAGACTCCTAGATCCTTTTCACATGTACTGCTCTCAAGCCAGGTGTCACCCATCTTGTATTTGTGCCTCTCATTTTTTTTGCCCATTTTTTTGTACATTGAGTCGCAGTGGCTCTCCAAGGTTTCAGGCAGGAATATTTCCCAATCTGAACCTGGGGGTGCTGAGGATTGAAGCTGAGACTTTTTGCATGCAGAGCCCACCCACTGAATCACAGCCTTTCCCTTGAAAATTAAAGTTAACTACCCTCCTCTCCTTTCTGGGGCACATTAGAAGATGGTAAAAAAAAGGTAAAGAACCCCTGGACGGTTAAGTGCACGCAAATGTGAACTATGGAGTTGCAGTGCTTATTTTGCTCTTAGGCCTAGGGAACAGGCATTTGTCCACAGACAGTTTTCCGGGTCATGTGGCCAGCAGGACTAAACGGCTACTGGTGCACAGAGGACCATGACGAGTGCCAGAGCGCACGGAAATGCTGTTTACCTTCCCGCCGCAGCGGTACCTATTTATCTACTTGCACTGGCGTGCTTTCGAACTGCTAAGTTGGCAGGAGCTGGGACAGAGCAACGGGAGCTCACCCCATTGTGGGGATTCGAAACGCCAACCTTCTGATCAGCAAGCCCAAGAGGCTCAGTGGTTTAGACCACAGCGCCAGCCACCCATGTCCCATATTAGAAGAAGCAAAAATATTTATCATGCTTCCTCATTACTTCACACATAAATACCAATGGGAATGTAGAGAAATGAAGGGGATACCAGCCGAAAAGAAATGGGGTGCAAGTATATTTGAATGTTCATTCATGCGATTTAAAAATAAATGCTAAGACGAAAATGCAAGCCTCTGGACCCTGGCAAAAGTTCCCCAAAGAAAAATTCAAAACAAAGACTCTATAAAAGGACAGGAGTGCAGACAAGTGGACAGAGCTGGCAAATACACCTGAGTGGAAGTGCAAGGGGCGAAAGACATGGAAGTGTGGTAAGCTGGGCAAACCTGCTGCAATTTGTTTAAGTGAAATAAAGAGAGGCAGGTTCTGTGGAGGTTTCCATCACTATGGAGAAGGTATGTCTGTTGCTAGAACAGCAGCTGTGTCAAACACATATACTGATGACAACGGGAGCTCTGACCCAGCTCCTGCCAACCTAGCAGTTCGAAAGCACGCCAGTGCAAGTAGATAAATAGGTACCACTGTGGTGGGAAGGTAAACAGCGTTTCCATGTGCTCTGGTTTCCGTCACAGTGTGCTGTTGTGCGAGAAGAGGTTTAGTCCTGCTGGCCACATGACCTGGAAAGTTGTCTGTGGACAAATGCCGGCTCCTTCGGCCTGTAAGCGAGATGAGCGCCACAACCCCATAGTCGCTTTTGACTGGACTTAACCATCCAGGGGTCCTTTACCTTTTTTACTGACCATACCCTTGCTTAAGCCTGATTGTTTTCAAATCCACAACACTATCTTGTGTAGAATACTAACTACATACTTTCTCTTTTTTGGTCATCTCCAATCTACTTTTCCCCCCCAGGCAGAGCGTTACCCAAGAGGTATTGAAGGGAAATTTTTTTAATTGACCAATGATTATTATAAATAGATAAAAGAGGATTTTGATAAAAGACTATTGTGAGAACACGTTATAAGAATGTATAAAAGTCATAGCAGAAACTGCTACTTGTACAGGAAATGTGCAGGGAGAAGGGATGAATGAATTTTGAAACAATAGTTGGAAAAGTTATCGTACTGGGAGCAGCAATGGAGGGAGTAAAAAAGAAGGAACATCTGGTGGGTGGGAAATCAGCTTTTAAATTTGTATTAAATTTGCATTGATTTGCATCAATCTGGAGACGATTTGTTAAAAATTATGGGAAAAAATCAAGAAAAATAATTGGCAAAAAAGTAGTCTCCAATCCGTTTGATATAGACACAAGCTTCTGACATTGACTGAGCCTACAAATTAAACAATATGCTACAAGTATGGGTACCTTTGTCCCAATTCAGGGGCATACAGTGCCTGATCTTGTGAGTTTCCATTCAGGAACTGTTTACTTTTCAACTGGGTAGTGATCCCCTTGTAGAGTAAGTTGTAGCACTTAGCATTTACCTAACATGCCATGACACGGGTGGCACTGTGGGTTAAACCACAGAGCCTAGGACTTGCCAATCAGAAGGTCGGCGGTTCGAATCCCCGCGATGGGGTGAGCTCCCATTGTTCAGTCCCAGCTCCTGCCCACCTAGCAGTTCGAAAGCACATAGATAGATAGCAAGTAGATAAATAGGTACCACTCCAGCAGGAAGGTAAACGGCGTTTCTGTGCACTGCTCTGGTTTGCCAGAAGCGGCTTAGTCATGCTGGCCACATGACCTGGAAGCTGTACACCGGCTCCCTCGGCCAATAAAGCGAGTTGAGCGCCGCAACCCCAGAGTCTGTCACAACTGGACCTAATGGTCAGGGGTCCCTTTACCTTTACTTTCCTTTCCTGGGAGTAAGCCCCATTGAAAACAATAGGACCAATTTACACATAAGGGATACTCTTGAGGCACAGTATCTCTTTATGAGGTAACAATGTTTCTTCTTCTAAATAAGTGAGCCTATTCTTTCCCCATGAGGCTGTTACAGTGAGCATCCCTTGCATTCTCATCCTTCCTCCCCTGGGGACAAAATATATTGTTTTGAGTGCTCATAAAAGGATATATCCTCACAGCAGAAATGCAGCCTTGAGGGAAGCTGTGCACAGACAGCAATCAATAAATAAATCAACAAAAGCACGTTAATTGTGTTATAAACTGATCGTGGGGTGGGGAAGAAGAGAACTAAATCAACGGACTCTAAATATTTCATTTATTCTCTCTATTGCTGCTACTCCTCATGCATTCATGCCTAACCAGGCGCCTAGTAGTGACACGGGTGCCAAGATGTCTGCTTCCCTATAAACAATGGTTGCAGGGCAAACCAATAGCTTTTCCCTCAACAAAGGGCAACAGTAGTGTAACTTGGCTAATTTCTAGAGGGAAGGAAAGATTATATCAATGTGTCTGGCTGTGGTCAGAGGGAAAATGACAGCTATCTTGAGGTAAATCTCAAAACAAGAAATTCCCTGACAGATCAACTACAGATGCAAAACACACTGTGCACATTAACAGGCTCAAGTCTGCCTTTTAGAAATATGTCTTCCAGGAGTTTAAAAACAAATTTCAAGTAAAGTCCAAGTGAGAGTATCTAATATAATTCAAGAGTTTCACTGTACATAGCCCAAAAATCATATATGAGTATTTTCTCCAGATTATGGGAAGGACTGTAAAAAACAAGAGAATTTCACGGCTTGATAACAATGTGTTCTATAGGCTACTCAAGGATAGCAAATTTCAGCAAATTAAGCCCTCTGCCACCAAAAGTCTGTGCTTGTGTCCACACTGGCTGATGTTTAAATTGAAAGGAAAAATCAAATGGATGTTCAAGGCTTCTGTAGTTCCAATAATATAAGCCACCCGGAAAGTTTGTTGAAGTGTGGCATATAAAATGGGCAACATTAAAACACGACAAAACTGCTCATTTATTGGAAATTGCCTGCAAGGAACGGATGGTGTGGATTTTCTCATGCATCCCATGCGAAGCATATTTATTTTTTTATTTATTACAAATAAATATGCTTAGCATGAAATTTTGAGTTGATAGTTAGCTGGTGCATTGGACTGATATACTGTCTGCTTGCGTGATCTGTGTGGAAAAGGAATGGCAGTTTGGGATGGATTGGAGGAAGCCTTCAAAAGCAGTGATGCAAATTTGCCCTAACTCAGGATGCTTGAAGAGTCTGTGCATGCTGATAGGAACTGACCTCACTAGCCTATAGATTTCAGCTACCCGCTGGCTTTTGCAATTCCCAAATGTTCCAACGCAATTCGCAGCTCAAAACGATGTCTCAAAATGCAATTAGAATTCAAGTTTTCATGCAGAGTTTCAAGTTTCATTTAATGGGGAAATGGGACAGAACTGACGTATGATTGAACACATGCAAACGCAATGAGTACTGAAAATAGATTGGTTCATTAATGTTCCATAAGTTTTATTTTACCCTTTCAAGGAAAAGTAAGTTCCAGAATATACACAACATTTACTGTTTCCAGCACCTAAGCCATAGAAAATACATTTTTCTTCCACTGGAAGAGTCAACACTTCAGAATAAAGAACTGCTTAAATCAGATTTAAACAGAAGTCAACAAAAATCGGCATTAATGCATTATAGTGCTTTTTCATTAACAAACACTAGTTTAATACTGGGGCTAATCTTTGAAGCAGTCGTTAGCCACTGTAGGGCTTGCACTTCACAAGGGATAACTTTATGACTAGCTATTCCGGCATCTCACTGGTTCTTCTGAGATGCTCAGAACAGGACTTTTGAGACCAATTTTAGGGCCTAGTGCAACAACCAGTCCCAGTCCTTCTGAGTCAAAGCAGCATGTCCTTTTTAGATTTAGCAATCTGACTGACATCAGGATGGGAAACCTACAGCCTTCCCAGATATTGTTGGGTTCCAACAGTATCTGGAAAGCTGCAGGTTCCTGATCCCTGAAAACAAAAATGTTAATTATCAGCCCCTTTTTATTTCTTGAGCAATTTTCTGTGGACACTGCAGAAGTGAGGTTTGCTGAGTTTACTGTGAAAGTTGAACTGGGAGTTTAAAACAACAACAGGCACTATAAATATTATATATAGCACTGTCCTTTGTTTCAGCGTTTAGTCTTCCTTCTTTTGAAGGGCAAGCATCATCATAAGGCAAATCATGGTTATGAATACCAGTCTTAAAAGAGTTTTCACAACAGGTAGAGCAGTCCACAGAGTGCAAAGAAACCAGCCTAGGAAGAAGCAGCCCATTGTTTTCTCTAATCTTTGGCCATTTGAAAGTAAATGGATCCATTCCTCTTCCTCGCTTACAGCTGAGAAACAAAATAGAAATGGTTAGTTTGTTAACAGGGGGACCTCTCTGCAAAGAATTTCAACAGATTGTGCAATTTCCTCTGCTTCTTTGCAAGTACTTAAGCTAAAGCTAACATCTGTTGGAAGCCAATCACAGCTCCCATTCTCACTTGAGAGGTGCAAATGCGGACCTCTTTGTGAGCCAACTTATCAGCTCTTGCAGGCATTAATCACAGCATAATCAAATGTAAATACAAACCACAAGGAAGTTAATAGAATGCCTTTTATTTTTAACCCTTTTCTCACAAGTAAAGGAAATAAACAGATTAATACCCCAAACCTACAAGGATCACATATATTACACTGGAACTTCTAAGTTTAAAGCCATACTCTTTCCTAAACCATTTATAGGGAGGAAAAAATACTGAACACTCTGATTAGTGAGGCTGCCTTTCAAAATAAAGGCATTAAGAATGGAGGTGCTGGACTAAAGTTCCCAAGCTAGTTAATGCTGGAGACACTCCTTCTGCACTTTTAACAGCCTCAGGACAGACAGAAATTCAACTGGGGAAGTTCTTCTCCGAAATAACATCTTCTGTTGAACTCCTGCTCCTTACAATGCACTTAATTGAACTGGGAGAATCATTATTTAGTGGGGGATGCATTAAGGATCACACTTTTAGCATATATTTTACATATAACTAGCAGTCAAGCAAGTGTGGAGTTAGTTCCTGATATAGCCTAATTGCTCAATGAACTTTGTTAAGATAAGACATTTAAATAACAGATACACATAACTGACTGGCTTTCATAGATTCCTGAGGCCAGAAGGGATCATTATGATAAAATTTAATCTGAACTACTCCAACAGGACCCATTCCTTAAATTGCTCTATATGCCCATACAGTGGTACCTCGGGTTAAGTACTTAATTCGTTCCAGAGGTCTGTTCTTAACCTGAAACTGTTCTTAACCTGAAGCACCACTTTAGCTAATGGGGCCTCCTGCTGCTGCTGTGCCGCCAGAGCACGATTTCTGTTCTCATCCTGAAGTAAAGTTCTTAACCCGAGGTACTATTTCTGGGTTAGCAGAGTCTGTAACCTGAAGCGTATGTAACCTGAAGCGTATGTAACCCGAGGTACCACTGTATTTTGTTGGCAAGAAACCTTTTGAGCCTTATTTTCTGCTTCCATCAAATATTCAGCTGGAGGGATAGGAAAATTTAAAACTAGGAATAGGGGAAAGTTCCCCAGTGTTATGGTATGTTTGACATTTTATTTGGAAGTGTTTCAAATAGCTTGGAGAAAGGAAGCTACATTGAAATAACCTTTGTTGCTAAGCTCTCAGAAACAAGGATCCTTCTGGAAAGGTAAATAAAATGGAAGCTCACTGGTGACAAGTCAGAATGATGAAGGACCATCAATATATAGCAAATTAGCAAAACAATAGATTGAAGTTCCATCTTACCACAGTTTCGCGGAGATAGACAGTGCAGTTCACCAAAAGCACACCGACAAAGATGGCAACTCTTCCGTATCCACTGTCCATGTTTGAACACGCCACAGTTGCTGCCAAGGACAGATCAGAAGGTTCAGAATTAATTAATATTGACATGTTATCATCATCATCATTGTTAAAACTTGGGAAAAACTTAAACCCAGGCCAGCAGTCCACAGAAAATATAACATAAAATAATAAGCAATTATAGTTTAGAAATCCTGCTCTGTCTTCCATCCTAATCATGCCAAAGAGCACCAGCCTCCAGTTAGCAGTAGGAAGGTAAAGGTAAAGGGTCCCCTGACCATTAGGTCCAGTCGTGACCGACTCTGGGGTTGCAGCGCTCATCTCGCTTTATTGGCCGAGGGAGCCAGCCTACAGCTTCCGGGTCATGTGGCCAGCATGACTAAGCCGCTTCTGGCAAACCAGAGCAGCGCATGGAAATACCGTTTACCTTCTGGAGTGGTACCTATTTATCTACTTGCACTTTGACATGGTTTCGAACTGCTAGGTTGGCAGGAGCAGGGACCGAGCAATGGGAGCTCACCCCGTCGTGGGGATTCAAACCGCCGACCTTCTGATCGACAAGTCCTAGGCTCTGTGGTTTAACCCACAGCGCCACCCGTGTCCCATAGTACAAAGGTAAATAGGCAAAAATTGCCTCCCCTCCTCTGTGTCTGCTGCATCAAAGGCTTTTCCATTGAATTCACTGGTCTTTTTTCCACCAATTGACCTTAATTATAAGCAAACCACATCTCTCCAGGAACTCATGTCTCCCAGTTTCCTTACCTCTTTCTTTGATCATATTCACAGTATCTGCCAGTGAAGTGTTGGGGGCAAGCACAGAAGCTGCCCAGGATGCAAGTTCCTCCATTTTGACAGCAATCCCGCTTCAGCGTTTTACCTGGAAGTGAATAATTCCACGGTTTACTAAGAAGCAGACCCTCTTTGAACCTACATTCTCACTTGTTCCACCAAGTCTCCCTGGCTGCCAAAGGTCTGATTTTTATTGGCCTTGAGGGGACAATAAAATTAGCTGCCTGTTAAGAGTGTTTGCTCAGTTAAGCCCAGTTTGTTTAGATAAGGATTAAAAGCACACTACTAGGGATTACTCAGTGGCCAGGCAGCAACCCCCTGGCATGTCTCTGCTGAAGAAGCTTGTGGACTTCATATAAGTCCACTTTCCCAGAAGCAGACCTCACTCATCACTTAAATAAATGGGTTTTCTTTGAAAGTAGCATGACAGACATTTGCCAAAATGAATGAAAGTCAGATTTTTCTTATGGACCTCGTAAAAAATGTTTGTGAAACAACGACTGGTCCTCGGTTTGCAGATTTCTGATGGGTTATAGTTTAGCTAAGGGGTCAGCAAACTTTTTCAGCAGGGGGCTGGTCCACTGTCCCTCAGACCTTGTGGGGGGCCGGACTATATTTTTTGGGGGAAATGAATGAATTCCTATGCCCCACAAATAACCCAGAGATGCATTTTAAATAAAAGGACACATTCTACTCATGTAAAAACACACTAATTTATTGACTGTCTGCAGGCCGGATTTAGAAGGCGATTGGGCCAGATCCAGACACCGGGCCTTAGTTTGCCTACCCATGGTTTAGCTGAACACAATGAACTGAAATAAAATTAACAAGCCCATGGCCTTGTTTTTATGTGACATTAATAGCAGAATGGGACGCGGGTGGCGCTGTGGGTAAAAGCCTCAGCGCCTAGGGCTTGCCGATCGAAAGGTCGGCGGTTCGAATCCTCGCGGCGGGGTGCGCTCCCGCTGCTCGGTCCCAGCGCCTGCCAACCTAGCAGTTCGAAAGCACCCCCGGGTGCAAGTAGATAAATAGGGACCGCTTACTAGCGGGAAGGTAAACGGCGTTTCCGTGTGCTGCGCTGGCTCACCAGATGCAGCTTCGTCACGCTGGCCACGTGACCCGGAAGTGTCTCCGGACAGCGCTGGCCCCCGGCCTCTTGAGTGAGATGGGCGCACAACCCCAGAGTCTGTCAAGACTGGCCCGTACGGGCAGGGGTACCTTTACCTTTACCTTAATAGCAGAATAACATCTCATGCTCTTCTGGCTAGAAAGAGTATTTCTGATATAGCTCAATGATTGACCTAAGCCATAGACATATTACATGGGAACTGCAGCACTTTCCCGTAGGAACACTGTGGTCCAGCGCTGAGGGCCTTCTGGCAGTTCCCTCACTGCGATAAGCAGATAAACAAAGTTACAGGGAACCAGGCAGAGGGCCTTCTCAGTAGTGGCACCCGCCCTATGGAACGCTCTCCCATCAGATGTCAAGGAGATAAAGAAGTACACAACTTTTACAAGACATCTGAAGGCAGCCCTGTTTAGGGAAGTTTTAAATGTTTGATATTTTATTATATTTTTAATATTTTGTTGGAAGCCACCCAGAGTGGCTGGGGAAACCCAGCCAGATGGGCAGGGTATAAATAATAAACTATTATTATTATTATGATCCTGTTCAGATATGCAACAGCATAAAAACTGCTTGAACCACCATAAAATATTTCCACAGAATTGGCACCCATGAACATTTGAGTATTAAATTAGATGTGGCACAAGGGTTGGGGTTAATTGACAGCAGATTCCCAATGGACACATGTGCATTTATTATATTTTTATCCCACCCTTCCTGCAAGGAGCTTTAGAGGTGTCCCTCAGTTTAGTCTCACAACAACCCTGTGAGTTAGGATAGGTTAAAATTTAGACTGCAATCCTGAAAACACTTAGGTAGAAAGAAGCCCCATTGAACACAATGGGTTTTACCTCCAGGTAAACATATCTGGGATTGCATTCCCAGGAAGTTTGGTGGCAGAGCAACGATTTGAGTTTGGGCCTCCTTTGCTCAAGACTATATACATTTCAAAACTCTATACCAGACTTTTTGTCTCTGCTATTTCTGCAAATACAGATGGCTGGGACCAGTTGGAATCCAATGACATCGCGAGGGCCACAGGCCATCTCTGCAGTATATAATGATTGTTTTGGCAGCATATAGAGATGGCAAATGACATTGCTACTTACTTTCAGTAAGACCAATGAAAGGCACTATTGGCTTATTGAGGTGTTTCCTGCTCTCATAACTCTGGTTCATCTCATTGAAGATATTTAATGTGGTGAGTTGGTCTTTGATGTTATCCTTTGGGACTGTGGCAGCAGCAATTTCTCCAGCATCCTGTATTTGCTCGTGTCTGGACCCTTATAGAAGACAAGGTGATGAAAAAAATAAGATGATATAGGTTTGTGCGTTTTATTAAAAAAGTGCACACATTTAACAGTGTTGAGACAAAAAAAAATAAGACAGAAGAAGAGGGAGCTTCTCACCTTTTCCAAAGTGAATGCTTTGCAAGGCCAGAGTCACTGCTAAAATAAACCTAGAAATGCAAAATCAGAAGAAATAGTTTATATAGAAAAGGGCTTGAGAGAAAGGTACATGCCAAGGCATGTCTACTCAGAAGTTAATTCAGTGGGACATGACTCCCAGGTACTTTATTTAATAAAAAGGTTTCCATGCTATTTTTTTCATTTGCAAACAAGAAACACCAAAGTGGTTCATGTCATAATAAACTCAAACGATATCCCATAAAATGTCTCATGGTGTAAGTCAGTACATAGGAATGTCATCTTAATTGTAAGGTAAAGAATGCAATACTAAACACACTGCGTGACAATCGGCATAAGTCATACTCAAGAGTAGACCCACTAAAAACACTTAAATGCATTGATTGCAATGGCTCTGCTCTAATAATGGCTTAGTTGGCTATCACCCACTAAGGAGTGAGGCTGCAATCCTCTTGCTGCCTACCTGGGAGTAAGCCCCATTGAACTCAGCGGGACTTACTTCTGAGTAGTCATGCTTTTGTACTGTGCTGCAAGTCAAAACTAAACTCAATGAGGCGTCAAGCTGAGAATCTTACTCTTAAAAACTAGAGTAAAGCAGCTGAATGGCTCAGCCACCACAGTTGCCAAATGAAAGATGCTATCCTGCACATCCATAGAATCCTAGTTTAACAGCTGCATTCTCTTTCATAATATCACCAGGGCAGCTGCTTTCTAAATACATTTGTAGTCTAATTAGTAAAGCCTTCTACAGCTCTGTCAATTACCATTTACTCTCGCTGGAGCCAAAATAGCAAGCTTTTGCATGTCTAAAATTTGCTTAGAATTTGCCTCTGTGCATGCAAAGATTAAAAAGGTGCCTCATTGAAGTCAAGGCAGTTATAGGAGAGAAAAAAGCAGACTTACCTGGTGTTTTGTTTCCAATACATTTTCCTGCCGTTTTTTTAAAGGACCTTCAGTTCCAATGCAGTTTCCAAGGGAGGGCTCTTTAGGCTGTTCTGTGTAGTTGTCTGTACACCAAACATAGAAGGAGTAACTATAGCAACAAAAAAAAGGGCATATGTATGTATCTCTAGCCTAGAGCACCACAGGACAAATATATGGCTCCTAGTAGCTCCTCTGCTGGTAAATGCTTTGCAGAGGTACAACCCATCAGTTCTAATCTCTCTGAGCTGACTGGTTCCTACCCCTCCCCGAAGATACATAAACACTTCTGGCTGGAGGGGGAGAAGTCACTCACAAGCACAGCAGGCGGTAAAGTTGATTCTTCACTAGGAATCTGCTGTAGCATTGGCCTTCACCTAGTGGGTGCAATGCTTTGCAACACCATCAAGGTGAACATGGTATCTCATCACTTGGGAATTAGATTGAGTCTAGCATATGGATTGCACACTATCTATAAGAAGACTTTAATGTATTTTTAATCTGTGTTGGAAGCCGCCCAGAGTGGCTGGGTACAAATAATAAATTACTATTACTACTTTATGGCTATAACATCCAGCTTCAATCTTTCTTCTTCTTCTTCTTCTTCTTCTTCTTCTTCTTCTTCTTCTTCTTCTTCTTCTTCTTCTTCTTCTCCTCCTCCTCCTCCTCCTCCTGCAACCACTCCTTAACTTGTGTAGCATCTCGCCTGATGTAGAGTTGTGGAGAACTTTAAAGCACACCACATTTCCATGCCTTTTAGGTTGGTCCTGCTTGAAGACATTGCCCAACTCTGTGTTTTTCTTTCTGTTTGCTTAAATATTATTTTTAGGGGACAGGTCAAAAGGCTGGAATACGGTGACCGGACACAAAACTGGAAAGGGGGACTCCAAATCTTTAATAGTGGTATTGAAGGCAGGATTTTGGCAAGCTATAACTTGCCCCTCTTCTACACAAGTGCTAAAGGTACAGAGGTCATATTTTGTCCTTTGCATCATACCAACATAGAGATGGAGAAAGATGGCCACATATAGGATAGCTTGGCAAGAGGACAGGTCACTTGTAAGTTGTTACTTAAAGGTAAAGGGACTCCTGACCATTAGGTCCAGTTGTGGTTGACTCTGGGGTTGCGGCGCTCATCTCGCTTTACTGGCTGAGGGAGCCGGCGTACAGCTTCCGGGTCATGTGGCCAGCATGACTAAGCCGCTTCTGGCAAACCAGAGCAGCGCACGGACATGCTGTTTACCTTCCTACCGGAGTGGTACCTATTTATCTACTTGCACTTTGACGTGTTTTCGAACTGCTAGGTTGGCAGGAGCAGGGACCGAGCAATGGGAGCTCACCCCGTCACGGGGATTCGAACCACCAACCTTCTGATCAGCAAGCCCTAGGCTCTGTGGTTTAACCCACAGCGCCACCCGCATCCCAAGTTGTTACTTAGCTTTTCGCTTTTACTGCATTTTAAAAATTGACTTATTTACTTCACTTTTCCTTTAGATTCTGCTTTTCCTCCCTTCCATTTCCCCCTCACAACAGCTGCCTGACGTGGTTAGGCTGAGAAACAAACAACTGGCTCAAAGTTCCTCAGGGAGCTTCATGGCTGAGTGGAGATTTGACCCCTGGGACTCCCACATCCCAGCCTGACATCCTAACCACTATACAGCACTGCCTGTCATAAAAAGGAGAGCGATTAAGAAGACTCTAGACAGGGAGCTGTTTCTGAAACACACCCAGTCATGAATCGGCTTGCCAAGGAAACTCCATGAAATGAATGGAACCATTATGCAGGCAGTGCTGGATTTATATACAAGCTAAACAAGATATATTACAGGGTCCTGTATACCTGAAGGAGCATCTCCACCTCCACCGTTCAGCCCGGACACTGAGATCCAGCACCGAGGGCCTTCTGGCGGTTCCCTCATTGCGAGAAGTAAAGTTACAGGGAACCAGGCAGAGGGCCTTCTCAGTAGTGGCCCTGTGGAACACCCTCCCATCAGATGTCAAAGAGATAAACAACTACCTGACATTCAGAAGACATCTGAAGGCAGCCCTGTTTAGGGAAGTTTTTAATATTTAACGCTGTACTGTTTTTAACACTTGATTGGGAGCCGCCCAGAGTGGCTGGGAAAACTCAGCCAGATGGGCGGGGTATAAATAATAATAATAATAATAATAATAATAATAATAATTAATCTCCACAAAAAAATTAAAGGAAAAAACTGGATGTACATTTCCAAAATATAAGATAAAAAACAAACAAAATAAAACCTACCTACAGCAACAGTGTTTTGTGTTGTGTAGGTTCCTATGATGTAAGTAATGGGCCCCGCCTGCTAGCCTGCTCCCTAAAATATCACTGGTTTGCTCATTTCTTTATACAGTCATACCTCATGTTATGTTTGCTTCATGATATGTTTTTTCAGGTTGCGTCCCACGGCGACCCAGAAGTACCGGAAAGGGTTACTTCCGGGTTTTGCCACTCACACATGCACAGATGCGCAAAATGACGTCACGGGCATGCGCAGAAGCGGCGAATCATGATCCATGTGTGCGCAGACACGGGTTGTGTTCCTTTCAGGTTGAGAATGGGGCTCCGGAATGGATCCATAAATTATCATATAGCATATAGGTAAAGGTAAAGGGACCCCTGACCATTAGGTCCAGTCGTGATTGACTCTGGGCTTGCGGCGCTCATCTCACTTTATTGGCTGAGGGAGCGGGCGTACAGTTTCTGGGTCATGTGGCCAGCAAGACTAAGCCACTTCTGGTGAAGCAGAGCAGTGCATGGAAACGTCGTTTACCTTCCCGCCGGAGTGGTACCTATTTATCTACTTGCACTTTGACGTGCTTTCGAACTGCTAGGTTGGCAGGAGCTGGGACCGAGCAATGGGAACGCACCCCGTCGTGGGGATTCGAACCGCCGACCTTCTGATTGGCAAGTCCTAGGCTCTGTGGTTTAACCCACAGCGCCATATTCAACACAAAAAACAGTGACAATTTGTTGTTGACAAAGGACAGCTGGACATATAAAGGGCCCCATTACCTTCAGTAGCTTAGAGCCTCATCAAACCTAAATCTGGCCCTGGGGTGAGGCGCTGCCTGCTTGCCCCACCCTTGATGTTGGCATGGCGGCTGCTGTTGGCATGGCTCCAGTGTTGGAGAAATGGCATTCAAAGCCCGCCCCCCCCCATGTTGAAGTAATGTGGGTGGGTAGGATCCCTGCTTGATTCAGGAGATAAAATTAGTACAGAGTGCTGCAGTATAGGTTCTGACAGGATTAAGCCCCTGTCAGCAAAATAGCACCTCTGCTCAAGAGATCTGCACTCCTTGCTGATTTGCTCCTGAGCCAAGTTCATGGTGTTAGGATTAGCAACAACTTGGGACCAGTTTAATTGTGTGATTGTCTTATTATGGGCACTTCGATCTGCAGAACTGTGACTGTTACAGGGATTACATTATACTCATTTCACGATTACTGGAAATGATAACTGTAAAACTCTCTGCCTATTGGCAATACTCTTTCCTGCTTAAAACATTGTTGAAACAAGCCTATAGAGGCAAGCAGAATGCTGGCACGTGATTTAATATTATTACTTCCTCTTGATAACCATTATCTTTTGAATGTTTTGAAACACCTGCTTTAAACTTACTTCTTGATAATTTTACTATTTTATTTTTTGGGTAAACCACTTTGAGGTGTTATTGCAATAAAATGGCATATACATTTTGAGTTTTTGACACGTGACTAAACACAGTCATACCTCGGAAATTGAACGCCTTGAGAGTCAAACGTTTGGCTCCCAAACGCCGCAAACCCAGAAGTGAGTGTTCCAGTTTGCAAACGTTCTTTGGAACCCAAACGTCCGATGCGGCTTCCGCGGCTTCTGATTGGCTGCAGGAGCTTCCTGCAGCCAATCAGAAGCCACAACTTGGTTTCTGAACATTTTGGAAGTTGAACTGACTTCCGGAACGGATTCTGTTCGACTTCCAAGGTATGACTGTAGTGGCAATGCTGCCGTGTGGCTTCCTCTAGTCCTGAGCCTGGTGATGGATTGGCACTGGGCACTACACTGGGCACCTTCTCTCAGCCCCCAGGGCCTCGTTGGCCCAAGATAAACCGTGACATGCTGCTGCCACTTCTGCTCTTCCATTTGTTTAGATTCTTCAGTGGGCAAGGAAAATAAGTTTCATATATATACACAGTATATATATTGGGCTCCATGATCACTGCAGATGGTGTCAGCAGTCACAAAATTCAAAGATGCCTGCTTCTTGGGAGAAAAGCGATGACAAACCTAGACAGCATCTTAAAAAGCAGAGACATCACCTTGCCAACAAAGGTCCATATGGTGATGTCTCTGCTTTTTAAGATGCTCACTTCCATACATCGCTACTGGGAAAACCATAGTGAGAGCTGGACCATAAAGGAGGCTGATCGCCAAAGAATTGATGCTTTTGAATTATGGTGCTGGAGCAGACTCTTGAGAGTCCCATGGACTGCAAGAAGATAAAATCTATCCATTCTTAAGGAAATCAGCCCTGAGTGCTCACTGGAAGGACAGATCCTGAAGCCGAGGCTCCAATACTTTGGCCACCTCATGAGAAGAGAAGACTCCCTGGAAAAGACCCTGATGTTCGGAAAGATGGAGGGCACAAGGAGAAGAGGACAACAGAGGATGAGATGGTTGGACAGTGTTTTTGAAGCTACTAACATGAGCCTGACCAAACTGCGGGAGCCAGTGGAAGACAGGAGTGCCTGGCGTGCTCTGGTCGAATGCAGTTATTTTGTTGGCTCCTCCACTCTTCACTGTGTTTTCAAAGCATTGGCAATTTTCTACTGACAAGCATTACAGACCTATTTGGTCTGGTAAGTTTTGCTTTTGTACTCAGAGGACAGGTTGCCTATTCCTTCAAATACATCTTGGTCTTGTTTTTCAACAGATGTTTTGCTTGATTTTCTCGTAGTCCAGAAATGGTTATCGACTTAGCTTGCTTCTTCAGTTTCACTTCCAGCTCATGTTCACCTCCACTGGGAACTATATTTGTAGCCTTCCACATTTTAAAACCTCCAGTACATTGTGGTTATCATTTCAGCCTGTTCAAGTAAGTGAACATGAGAAATAGCATTTACCCGTACTCCTATGCTTGTTTCATAACGGAGGGGCTCTGTCGATATTTATTTATTTATCATATTTTATGCTGTCATTTGATATACACGTTGAAAGTGTTGTACAATATAAAACTGCTAAAACCAATTGCCTTTTACTG